AATATATTTAATTGCCAATACAACATTAACTAGTGTCACGCCAATGCAACATAAACTAAATAATGGACATAAACTAAAGAAAAGAATAAATACAAATACAAAATAAGGAATGCGTCAAGTAATGCATGCATGTTTATTGCTTCTCTTCGCCATGTACCATTCATAGATTTAGGAGGATGAAATGACCCACCACTTAACATCACGTGCATGATATTTTCTGGGCATGTCATACATGGATGGGCTACACGTACATGTTATTCATGGCTAAACTTTGCTGGATAGATGGATATGACTACATGCATGCACCACTCGCTAAACAAAACTAAATCCAAATCTAATTCAAAACAAAAAAACAAAAAAGGATTTGCTATAATAAAGAATGAAATAAGGGCATTGATATTACCTAAAAGAAGAAAGAAAATGTAAAAACACATAAAAGAAACAATGACACAAAATTCCAAATGATTGGCATAAAAATTGCATTGTTTCGTAATATACAAAAATAATCATATAGTATTGGATTTTTTAGAGAGCAGTGTGAACCACACAAACATAGCACAAAACTTAGTGAGTATATATCCATGTTATGGGGGCTATTATTTGACAGGCGCCTATCTTTTGGATGTTTAGTCAAATCATCTCCACCACTCTCCACCAGTCGATCAAGATACAAAGGCCGAACCACCTTCTTCTTTCTCTAGCCTTCTTCTTCCCCATATACTAATACTATTTTTAAATGAAGTTTTCTAGGGAAGAATGAATTAGTGGAATTGGTACAACCCTTTAAGAAGGAAGAAAATTAAGAAAACGGAAACAAACAATGACAAAATTTGCCCAAAATTGTGACATTTTATAATATATGCAATAATAAGCATATAATAGTGAAATTTTCTCAAAAAGAAGTTTTCTTAGTAAGAATGAATTAGTGGCATAGGTATTACCTTTAAAGAATAAAGAAAAAAAATAAAAGAAAAATAATCAAAATAATGAAGTTGCTAAGGAAGAATGAATTAGTGGCATTGGTATTACCCTTTAAGAATAAATAAAATCAAATAGAAGAAAAATAATAAAAAATGAAGTTGCTAAGGAAGAATGAATTAGTGGCATTGGTATTTCCTTTAAGAAGAAAGAAAATGAAGTAAAAATTAACAAACCAAAAATTGAAGTATTCTAAAAAGGATTTATTGGCACTGGTATTACCCTTTAAGAATATATAAATTATAAAAATCAAACAATGACAAAATTTGCACATAATATGCACACAAATTGTGTTTTTTATATCATGAAACAATAAGCATAGGATAGTGGAATTTTAGCAAAGAGAAGTTTCCTAAAGAGTATTGAATTAGTGACATTGGTATTATCCTTAAAGAAGAAAGAAAATTAAATAAAGTCAGAATCAAAATAATGATGATGTCCAAGGAAGAATGAAATAGTAGCATTGGTACTACCATTTAAGAAGAATGAAAATGAAATAAAAAATTAAAAATCAATATAATGAAGTTTTCTAAAGAATAATGAATTATGGGCATTGGTATTACCCTTTAAAATGAAATAAAATCTAATTCAAAATCAAAACAATGAAGTTTTCAAAAGAAGAATGAATTAGTGACATTAGATTACCCTTTAAGAAGGAAAAAATCAAACAACGAGAAAATTTGCACATAATACACAAAAATTGCCAATTTTTGTAATATGCAAGAATAAGCACAAGATAGTGTAATATACAATAGACTGGATATTCCTTGGGTCAAGTTAATTTGGGAGGCTCATTATCAAAACAACGAGGCTCCACACACAAATCCCAACAAAGGATCATTCTGGTGGAAGGATTGTATGAAAATGTTTGATCTATTCAAAGAGATGTCTTCATGTGAGATCAGATCTGGAAACACTTGCAAATTATGGGATGATAGTTGGAATGGAGAGATTATGCATTTCAAATTCCCTGAACTCCATTCCTTTTGCAACCAGCAGAATATCTCAGTCAAAAAAGCCAAAGATATTGGGAACCTATACAACTTGTTCCAGCTTCCTCTTTCCATCACTGCCCATCAGCAATTTCATCTGCTTTCTGATAAATTACACAATATCAGATCCAACAATGACAAGGATATATGGAATTTCAATTGGGGTAGTAATTTAAATATGACCAAGAAGATTTATAATTTCTTACTGAGAAATGAAGATGCTGCTATCACTTTCAAATGGATATGGAAGTCATGCTGCCTTCCAAAACACAAATTCTTTTGCTGGCTTCTTCTTCATGATAGGATAAACACATGTGACCTTCTAACCAGGAAAAATATGCATCTTGATTCCACACAATGTGTATTATGTGATGCTGAAGACTATGAGGACAGAATTCATCTTCTTTTCTCTTGCCCATTTAGCCAGGGATTTTGGTGGAACATTGGTTTTGAATGGAACATTGATCTGAATATCCATGATATGATTATTGAAGCCCAGCAAAGATACAAAATTCACCATTTCATGGAAATTCTAATTATTGGATGCTGGAGTATATGGAATCAAAGGAATGATCTGATATTTGAAGGGATCCCTTGCTCTATTAATGACTGCAGATATGAATTTATCAAGACTTTCAAATTGACAATGTTAAGAGCCAAGCCAAGTTTAAAGGAAGGAATGTCTTCGTGGATTGATAACATTTAAGTTATTGTTGTTTCTATTTATTTCTTCTCAGTAATCTCCCTGGTTGTCTCCCCAACAACCATTGTAAAGACTTTGTGGTCCCATTTTTTTATATAATGAAAAAGATCTACAATAAGGCTTTTGCCTTAATGTTTTATGGTCAAAAAAAAAGATAGTGAAATTTTCACAAAAAGGAAATTCATAAGAAGGACTGAATTAGTGGCATTGTTATCACCCTTAAAAGAAAGAAAAGAAAATAATAACAAAACAAAATCGAAATAATGAAGTATTATAACGAAAATGAATTAGTGGCATTGGTATTACCCTTAAAGAAGAATGGAAATAAAATAAAATAAAATAAAAATGAAATCAAAATAATGAGGTTTTCTAAGAAAGAATGAACTGGTGGAATCGATATTACCCTTCAAAAAGAAAGAAATTGAATAAAATATAAAACAAGGGTTTGACAAAATTTGCACACAATACAAAAAAAGATTGCGCTTTTTAAAATATGCAAGAATAAAAATATAATAGTCAAATGTACGTAGGAAAAGGTTATTAAAAGGAAGGAATTAGTGTCATCGGTATTACCATTAAAAAGAACTAAAATGAAATAAAATTTAGAAAAATAAAAATAATGAGGTTTTCTAAGAAAAGAAAATGAATCAGTGGCATTGTATTACCCTTTCAGAAGAAAGGAAATAAAAAAGTAAAACAAAGGTGTTTGAACAAAATATGCAAGAATAAAAATATAATAGAAAAAATTACGAAGGAGAAAGTTACTAAAAAGGAATGAATTAGTGTCATTGGTATTGCCCTTAAAAAAGAAAGAAAAATGAAATATTAACTAAGTCAAAATTGACATAATGAACTTTTATTGGGAACAATGAATTATGCCATTGGTAGTATTAATCTTTAAGAATAAAAAGTATTTTTTTAAAAAGAATGCACACAACTTTGCACCTTTGTAGTATGCAAACAACAATCATATAACAGTGCAATTTTCACACATATTACATAGATTTGTGTGCATACATTTACACTCACCCAACATCCTAAAAGTACATACAAAAATAAAATAAAATAAAAACCAACTAATAATAAAGAAATGCAAATAACAAAAGAAGAACGCATCGAAAAAGAAAAATCGGAAAAAGTAACAGGGTAAAGAGGGATGGGCTGGGCGGGAGGGCTTCAGCCCAGTAGCAAATCGACTGTCCCAAATATATGGCCAGTCAGAAAAAAACAGTCCAAACCAGCTCACAAAACAATCCAGAAAAAACACAACACAAATCTCAGAGCAAAAATCGACAATCCAAACCAGCTCACAAAACAATCCAGAAAAAACACAACACAAATCTCAGATCAAAAATCAACGGCCAAGAAATCAACTGACTCAAATTCAAAATTCAAACGGACTTAGTAAAGTGAGAAAGTAGAGCCTAATGGGCTTTCCTCGAACATATTGGAACTCTTGTTCCCTCTTAATTTATTGGCTAGCGCCTGTCCCTTTTTATGCAGAATGACACGTACTAACTCTGCAGTGTAGGTAACACATGTTGTCATCTCAGTTGCTTAGGAGTACCAAGTATGTGGATTTACTCTTTCGCGATCGGCCGCTCCAGCGCTCGATTCGAACCAGCGCACAAGGCAAAACCGACAGGATTTCCAGGTAGGGCCCACCACGTGTGACAACCAGCCAACAAGGAATGGTGTGGTGCGCATCCACACGAAGGCACCATCGTGAAGGCCCACCCAGAATCAACACTAATCCCCCCCCCCTCCCGATTTTCGGGGGGTCCACCTTAATTAATCCCCTAATCTTCAAAGAAAACAACTGTCTACTTTCCAAATCGGGAGCTGTCCGAAACCGAGCGCTCCAACGAGCGCGCGCGAGTTAGACTCTCCCGTATGGTATGTATCCCTTCTCACTAGTGACATGCACTAACTCCACAGTTTTGGTACATATTGTCATCTCCGTATGGCCGCCTATCGGAGGCCAAAGATGCCAGGCCACTACATGCATGCGGTCTTCCGCCAAATTTTCTAGACCTTTTTTTTTTTGAGGGGAAAATTTTCTAGACCTTGTAACCTCAAAACCTCCTCGTAACCATCGTGACCTATGTGCAGCTAGCTTTTGACGCTATCCAAGATGCAGTGCCAACCTGCCAGGAACAACATAAAGGCACAAATGGCAACAACGATGGCATCTTGACGCTTTGCACGATCCACCAACACGCAATCCTAGGGCAGCTAGCTAAGTCAAATAGAAACCTAGCCACCTACTACCACATCTATAAAACCGCCGGCTGCTTGGAGTGAGCCGATCGATCGAGCTCAGGGCCATGGCGAGCTGCTTCTGCGGCACGAGCGCGGGGCGGCGGGGCCAGTTCGTGAAGCTGGTGTTCCCCGGCGGGCACGTGGAGCTGCTGGACCGGCCGGTGCTGGCGGCGGAGGTGATGTCACAGCACCCGCGGTTCTGCGTGGCGCGTCCCGACGTGTTCCGCGAGCCCGTCGGCGCGGTGGCCGCGCCCAACACCATGCTCCACCTCGGGCACAAGTACTACGTCGTGCCCAAGAGCACCGTCCGGAGGCTGCTCAAGTACTCGTCGTCCTCCTCCCACAGCGCCGGCGGCGGGCGCGGCAGCGTGTCGCTGAGGCGGCACCTGGCCAGGCCCGACGGCCATGACAGGGGCCACAAGGACGGCGGCAAGAAGTGGTTCGGCTGGGCGGTGGGCGGCGAAGCCAGGGCGCCCCAGAGGCCTCCTCAGGAGGTGGGCGTCAGTCATGGCAGTGAAGAAGAAGCGGTCAGGGGGGTACGTGTTAAAGATACAAAGGAGAAGGGGAGGGGTGCGAAAGGCGAATCGCCGGGACGGCGGCGGCGGCGGCCGGTTGCCTCGCCGGCTGACTCGGCGTCCTATTCCTGGCAGCCTAGCCTTCACAGCATAACTGAAGAATAGCCGTGTACTACTATGTGTGAGCCCACTTTATAAAGGAAAAAAAGTATGCAAGGAGAATGTGCATGTCCTGTACATTAGAGAACGGTTGCTGAACTCTTTCTACGTACTACTTTGCTTAAGAGGAATTTGCATTTAACCTGAGTAATTCATTCATTGCGACTTCAGTGCATTTTGCTTGTCAAATGGCAGGTGTATCGACCGGCGCCGCTGGTTCGCTAGAACAATGGCGATTTGTACGAGTAACATTTCTCCCCTCGCCGCCCCTCGGACAGTGACAAAGGGCCGCAACGCATTTTTCACGTCTTTTTTTTAGAGTGGTTTTTCTACGCCCCACCACATTGCACACCCGCTAAACCCTCAAGAAAACATAGCAAAACATTTTAAAAAATTCTGAAACTTTGTGTGAATGATTGTGAACAAAGGTTACATATGCTCGCAAAGTTTGATGGTCAAATAACATTTGATTTGAGGAGCTCTGTACAGAAAAACAAACACTCAAAATTACTCAAAATGTTATATGTGCTTCCAAAATTTTATAGGTGCTTGTCGTTTCTAATCAGTCCCACAAAATTTCAGAATTTGTCAAAAAATTTGCTATGTTTTCTTCAGAGGGTGTAGCTGGGGTGTAGTGTGGTGGGGTGCAACCACTACTTTTCCAAATTATTACTCTGGAAACGAGGGAATCCTCTAGCTTATGCATCGATTGATGCATGTGCCGCCTTTTATTGTGGAGTTTTCAGTTCAGGACATAGTCATGCACTCATAACAAACAAATATTGAAAGAAAGAGAAACAAATACAAAAGGCATGACAAAAAATGTCATGTCGAAGCGATCAACGCCAACAATGCAGTAACCACTGCTGCCGCCGCCCTTGGCAACAGATGGAGATCACTTGAATGTGAGTCCGGACCCTCTAAGCTTATCCTCAATGATGGTATCAAAGCGTTGCGCCATCTCTGACGTCATATTGTTCACCCAATCTTCGGCCACCCCTTTTCTAAAGAAGGATTCATGGGAGAAATTGAAAACCTTCCCATCAAAGGAGCCTGCCTTGTTGACCCCTAGGCCTTTGAGCTTGTCAAAGCTGCAGAGCTTCACGATGTCCGCTGGAATCCCCGCGGCCTCATCGGCCTGTGAGAATGGCTGCCCGATGAACCGCGCCAGCTTCCTGACGTGGCCGACCGGGTCGATGAGCATCTCCTCGTACCTCAGGAATAGGATTTTGTCCGGGCTGGTCTTGCTTGCGTTCCAGTAGCCGATGAGGTGGTCCCATATAGGGCCATTTGGGGCCCTCCCCTCGCAGGCAGCGTCAAACAGATCAACAAACGTGAAAGAACGAACACCTTTGAGAAAATGCCACAAGGAAACAAGCATATCCTTTGGCTCCCTGCATTTGAAAGAATTAGGTCGATGAGCAATATGAGGTTGGTGTCGTCTTCATTTGTTTATATGAAGTAGATTTTAAGTGTGGTTTTTCCAAGGCCGAGCTCCATGGCAACCCCTATCCTCACTGTTTCTCCTGGTCGCTATCCCATAGAGATCCGTGAGATTCCTGACTTGGTTGGAAGTGTAGCAGTAACATTAAGCCACCAAATTTTGGCGGGAGCGTCACATGCTCCTCTCGCCCGTGACCACGAGTCCACCATTGCTTCTCTCTTGTACACCCATGTGAAACATTCTGGCAGCACCTCTCTCTCTTATACACAAGATTCTTTCTCTTTAAATACCAGGAAACAAAAATCCTACAAAAACTGATCCCTCATGACTTGTCTCTCTCACATCACCTCTCTCTCTCGTACAGTTTCTCTCTCTCGTAATTCCAGGGAAAAAGTCCTAAAATCTGTCTAGTATGTAGTATCTCTTTTTGTCAAACAAACGATGTGTAAAACGGATTGTGTAAAATGTGGTTCTAAAATTCGACTCTGTTCGCACACGAACACGTCACCGTGTACCTTCGACGCCGGGGGTGATGCACCGCAGCTCACGTCGAAGGAGACCCATCCGGAAGCGCGGTACGCAAGACAATCCGGCGGGCGCTTTTGTAGACCCGAAACCCCACACGCCCGGGAGGGACCCCGTCTGGACGCGCAGAGGCTATGGGCTGGCCTAGGTCGACCTGATCGCCCCTAGGGCCTCGTGGATCGCCGCCCTGCAACTAGAAGAACGAACGAAGAACGAGGGAGAGAGATAGAGATAAAGGTAAAATATGATAGATTGATAGATCGATTGTGTGTTGTTATTCAATCGGTCGTCACCTCTTACATATATATGAGGCGGCTGGACTTTCCGTACAAGAAAAAGACTCAAATCCCGTCCAAAACATCAAAAGATAACTTAACTCGGACTACGAGGGCCGGAACTTCCGGTCAGCCTGGAACTTCCGGGCTAAAATTACATCAAGTTACCCTCTTGCACAGCTCCTACAGGTCGCATATGGCCTCGGATCACGATGGTCCCAAAAGCAAAGTTGTAGATCTTGCAATGGAGAAAATTTCCTTAGTTGATCACTTTTTCATCCGAGGTCATCTTGATGTCGAAATTGGCCCCGAAAATCTGCAAATAATGTTAAATTCCAGTTTTCGGGGCGCACCGCGTGCAAACTTTTGGTTTAGCCCGGAACCTCCCCGGAAGTTTTGCCCGGAACTTCCGGGGCAGACTTATGCAGCGCACTGTTTTGGCTCTAACTTTTGTATATGAACTCTGATTTAGACGTTTCTTATATCAAAATCGACCATTTCGACGAGATGAAGACAATCCGTGTAGAAACATTTCTCATATGAGGCTGTCTTGGGGGCGTAATCAGCCGAATAGTGTTCTGAATACAAAATCCGAATACTTCGAACACAACTTTGGCCTTAGAAATGAGACCGGATGGCTATGGCCCAAATATCAAAGTTTCTTATTTTGACGATACGAAGCTTTCTCACTTTGAACACTTCTCCATTTGAGGCCATCTTAATTAAGTTTTTGGCCGTGCCAAAATCTGGTGTCAACACATGCCCCCCTATTTTTCGGCAAACTTGTGTGCCGAAAAATAACTTGCAGGATGCTTTTCCTAAGGACGATGCCAACACTCCATCGGCCATTTATATGTTCTTAGGGTGATATTTATATATCGGCCATTGCTTGTGGGAAAATTTTGATGCAAGATTGGGTGAAACTTTCCCAACTTCAATAAGAATCCGGTGATAAGGTTCCATAGATCAAAACATCCTCCGAACCATATTGTTCATCCTTTCACTAGGAATTTGCAGATAATCAATAATGAACTTCCTCCAATTCTTACTTCACCTGCATAAAAGTTTCATTAGTGGAAGCGGTGGGCTTCGGTTCGGCCTTACCTATGTTGACAAAACCTAGCATCGGCTATTGATAGAAATACAATACACCATGGTTAACATAGTAGTCGGATGCTTGCTGTGCCAACTCTTTCAAATTGTCATGTCTAGATATATGAACAATTTTAAAGCAACCCAAGGTAAATCTTGCATCTAGTCATACCAAAAGATAAACTATAAGTGATTCATCAAAACATTGATAACCCTTGGATATTTGTTGCACTACTAATAACGAATCACCTGAAGCCTCAATATGTATAGCACCTATAGCAAGGCAAAGCTCCAATCCGAATAACAATTCATATTCGGCTTTGATCATTGTGCAAAAATATTTTAAGCGGCATGAGGCTTCACAAACTAGCTCCATATGGAGATAAATAAACAACACCAACACTTCGGCCATTGCTACAAACTGAACCATCAAAATATAATCTCCATAGTACTAGAGAGACAAGGCTAATATCACATAACATGTACCTTATCTTGGTCTCCAATTAAACTAAGGACGATGTTAGAATTCCACACCGGCCATGATTAGATAGTTTCTTAGGACGATAGTTAAGTATCAGCCATTACCATGAGGTCCACGTAGAATTCACCCACCAAACTATGCATAGCCGAAACAAACAAATAAAATAGCAATAAAATATTTCGGCCCCTTGTATTAGCAACAAAAATGTAACTAACCAAATGTATAGTGATTTGGTAATACCCACTCATGATATAGAAAATTATGTTGCATCCATGGATCAAAATAAATCCATGGAAGGTAATTGATCATACCTAGGGATGAATTCCGTGGCAAAGGCATCAATGGCATGGTTGAAGAAAATGGATGATGTTCTAACCGAAAATTTTGATGTTGTGATGCACACCTTCGGCTTAATTGTTTGTTGCTTCCATCCCTCTCTTTCTTCACTTTTATCATACTTGTTGCAATAGAAGCATGCACATCATTTTTGTTTTGATTGATCCTCTTGGGAACCCATGTCATGTTCCCCTTTCTCAGCTCTTGTGCACTAAGACTTTGTAACTCCTTCTTTCGCCAATACGATAAGCCGAGTGGGCACCCCGGTTGTGATTTTGTTTGAAGCAGTGGCAATTCTTGTTTTACCTTGTGCACTCTCAACTTCGTTTCTTCAGATTTGGCACTATGATTTTTATCAACTGACTGCTTAACTTCTTTGCCTTTTGTAGCCAATGTCAACACTTTAATTGACTCTTTGTTATTTGAGATCAAATCTGAAGTAGCACACTTATGACCATCTCTTTTCACGCGGTAAACTTGCTTTACCACCTCTTTCTTCTTCCTTGAGCTCTGGACCGATTCCTTATGATTGAAACGGTCTTTGACGTGTGATTGTTCAAATGTTGATCTTCTTGGAGCTGCATAGTATTGGTGAGATGGTCTAAAATAAGATGGAGAATGTCCCCTTGTATCATACCTGTCCCATGATGAATATGGATCAACATGAGCATAGGGAGGCATCCACGGCATTGGCATTGGCGGCCCAAAATAAGGATATGAATATCTTGCATTAAAATTATCACTTTGCCAATACCGATCCTCATATTTGCGCCTTGGGGTGATCTTGGTTTCTTTGCATGATTTGGCCGATAAACATTCTTCTCTTCACTCTTCTTTTGATATTTATCCAATAGTTCAGTGAAGGTGATTTTTGATATCTTACACTTGCGCTTACTTCGGCCTTTGTTTTCTTTTGGTTTGCTTTCATCGATCATTGGATTTTCTTGCTGCCCCCCAATCCTTGGCGTCTCCATTGTAGCTTTGATGGAATTTTTGCCCTCAAGATTATGTTCATTATGCTCTTCAACAATTTCTTTACTTGAAAACTTGATCCCATCACCTGCAATTTTTACCTTCTCTTTAAATGGATCGGTTTGAAGCAGCCGATGCAAAAACTTTCTGCCATCGGGACCAATCAGAATAGACTGGTCATCTCTTAGTGTCTCAACAAATTTCAATCGTCCTTTATCAATGGCCGATTTAACTATTTGACGAAACATATTACAATCCTCAAAATTATGTTTGAACGAATGATGCAACCTACAATACATTCGTCCTTGAATTGATGGCTTGACATGGTGATAAAAAATTCTTATGTAATTATTTTTCAGCAACAAATCAAATATTTGATCACACATGCTTGAAATGAAGGCAATTTTTTTATTTTTTAGCCGATCTTGCTGTGAGAACGGCTTTGGAGTTAAGCAAACGAATGATTCAGATTTTGTATCTCCCCATTCGGCTATGAATTTTATTTTGCATTCTCTTACCGATGTCATTGGATAAGAAACTATACTTGCATCGGTTTGCTCAGAAAATTTTAACTTTGGCTTTAAATTTCTGAAACGAAAATAGTTAGAACATACATGTCTCAATTGAGACCAAGTGTAAGCCAAGTAAGAAATAAGCAAAGCTACCCAATTAGATATGAATTTTAGACAAAGCAATGGGGAAAGCCTTGGCTGCAATAATTTTTCGCTATCGGTTTTTCTGAATGGTGTAATGTATTGACCGATATGCTTCATAACAAGTTTATTGCTAACAAGTAAATTACCCTTCTTCATTGGTCTTTCAAAATTACTTATGAGAATATTTTTTATAGATGCATCAATAATGAAGTCGCGACCAAATCTGAAAATGGGTAAATTACTCTCTATGCATACCTCTTCAAATATGTTGGGCGAATATGATGGTGGTGCTACTTGAAGAACATCTTGCTCCGTCTTTGGATGGCTCCCCATCACCTTTTCATCATCTTTTTCTTGATTCCATGCATCATTGCTTTGAAGATCCATGTCAGCCGAACTTTGTTCGGCTACTTGTTCTTGTCCTTGAGGCTTGTCAATTTCTATGGCACGAAACTCATAGGGCAGGAAGTAGGTTCCATTGACTTCAGAAAAATCAAGTATGGCTGTTTGCTATGCTTTCCATGCCATTTCTCAATAATGCTTGCCTCTTTGGATTTGATGAACTCAGAATATATACTACTTGATTTGGCTTTTCTAATAATCAAATTTTCTTTGTTACCTGAATCAACAACTTTATCTTTTTGAATTTGCGAGGCTTCTCGCTTTCGTCTAATTTTAGCCCACATCTCAGCTTGGCGAGCTTTAAACTTTTTCATCTCAATTTCCATCCACTCGTCATGAGATTGCCCCCAATACTTTGAGACTCTTTCGGCAATGAGGTGCCCAAACTTTGCGATTGTTTAGGTGGTACATTGGATGGTACAGCAGTGGGCGACTGCATCATTTGCACAACTCTAGCTTTTACAGCAGCAAAATCATGAGGCTTCCCACCTTTTATTAGTTCCTTGCGAATAGATTTTGCACAAATCCCAAGAGAATGTAAGCTTGTTCTTAATTACCCAGTCTGGATATGGTTGCCCCCCAATGCTTTTAGACTCTTTCGGCAATGAGATGTTGCCGAAATTCTGTAATTGTGTAGGGGGTCATGATATGCCACGATAGTAGGTGAAGGCATTTGTGCTTCTGCAGAAGTTTCACTTATTCGGCCATGACCATGAAGGTGCGGAGCCGAATCATGGACATCCACACTAGCATATGGTACCAAAAAATTAGTAGCATTAGGTGTAACATATGATGTTTGAGGGTAATTGGCCAAATAACTAGTAATAACATGGCCAATTCCCCTATCCACCGGCACGTTTGGATTAACGTACTACAAGTTATTTGCCGATGAATAAGAACTTGAAACACTTTGTTGCATACCATTGGAAGTTCCTACATAGGGTGTCTCAACTTGATTAACCGAACTCATCATGTTATTCATCGGCATATAAATTTGTGGGGTTGCCGATGCATGGGAGTTGGGATACATATGTTGCATGTTGCTAAAATTATATGAAGTGGAATCATGGATATTTTGTTGCATCGGCCCTTGCACATAATTAAATGCATGATTGATAAAGCTAGGGCTAGCCGATACATTATGCTCATTAGATGATCTAGCAACAACATATGAATTATTTGCATCTACAAAGGGGAATTGGGTGTTCATATTACCTTTGTAGATTGCAAACCCTACATGACGATCTCTTCGTAGCAAGAACGGGCCGGAGACAGTTCAAAGCTTCTTCCCTGGTGGAGTCGCCAAAAAGTGTGTTCGCACACGAACACGTCACCGTGTACCCTCGACGCCGGGGGTGATGCACTGCAGCTCACGTCGAAGGAGACCCGTCCAGAAGCGCGGTACGCAAGACAATCAGTCGGGCGCTTTTGTAGACCCGAAACCCCACACGCCCGGGAGGGACCCCGTCTGGACGCGCGGAGGCTATGGGCTGCCCTAGGTCGACCTGATCGCCCCTAGGGCCTCGTGGATCGCCGCCCTGCAACTAGAAGAACGAACGAAGAATGAGGAATAAGAAGAACGAGGGAGGGAGATAAAGATAAAGGTAAAATATGATAGATTGATAGATCGATTGTGTGTTGTTATTCAATCGGCCGTCACCTCTTACATATATATGAGGTGGCTGGACTTTCCGTACAAGAAAAGGTCTCAAATCCCGTCCAAAACATCAAAAGATAACTTAACTCGGACTACGAGGGCCGGAACTTCCGGGCTAAAATTACATCAAGTTACCCTCTTGCACAGCTCCTGCAGGTCGCATATGGCCTCGGATCACAATGGTCCCAAAAGCAAAGTTGTAGATCTTGCAATGGAGAAAATTTCTTAGTTGATCACTTTTTCATCGGAGGTCGTCTTGATGTCGAAATTGGCCCCGCAAATCTGCAAATAATGTTAAATTCCAGTTTTCAGGGCGCACCGCGTGCAAACTTTCGGTTTAGCCCGGAACCTCCCCGGAAGTTTTGCCCGGAACTTCCGGGGCAGACTTATGCAGCGCACTGTTTTGGCTCTAACTTTTGCATATGAACTCCGATTTAGACATTTCTTTTATCAGAATCGATCGTTTCGACGAGACGAAGACAATCCGTGTAGAAACGTTTCTCATATGAGGCCGTCTTTGGGGCGTAATCAGCCGAATAGTGTTCTGAATACAAAATCTGAATACTTTGAACACAACTTCGGCCTTAGAAATGAGACCGGATGGCTATGGCCCAAATATCAAAGTTTCTCCTTTTGACGATACGAAGCATTCTCATTTTAAACACTTCTTCGTTTGAGGCCATCTTAATTAAGTTCTTGGCCGTGTCAAAATTTGGTGTCAACAGACTCCCTGCACGTTTACTAGCTTGGGGCCCTCCGAGCTACATGAATCACAACGAGAACAGACGGTTGTGCTAAGAGGACGGTGACCTACACTGATTTTTAAGAGATTGCTGGCCACACGGTAGGTCGCGGGTCGCCTCCATTGGTTATTTGGGCATGAACGAATATTTCATTGAATTGAAATCACAAATCGGGCAGGTCGCCCTTATTGGTTATTTGGGCATGCACGAGTATTTCAGTGAGGTAAATCAGGCAAATTCATGGCGTTGGTGGGCGATGACGGTGTAACGGAACAAATGTGTCGAAAATCATGGAGAACCAACAAACACGGACAAGTACAGGAAAGAGTTACTTGCCAAACAAAAACATTTGCCTGCAGATGAAGACAATTTTGTAGTCGGGGTAATCGGTAACAGAGGCAGGCAGCAAGGAGTGATGCATGTGCGTGTTCATGAGCCGAGGCGACGGCAGCGCCTCAAGCCTGGCTTCCTGCCCGGTGGTGAACAGCTCGTCCATGAAGGGGACACACTCGTGCGGGTTCATGCGGAGGAGAGGGTGCTGCGCGTCGGCGGGCGGGTACGCGCCCCGCGCCATGGTGGCGAACGCCAGCGCCTTGAGCCAGGTCGTGCCGCACTTGGCCGAGCTCGCGAGGAGGACGTTGCCCGGGCGTGGCGTGAAGCGGCGCGGGAGAGAGATGAACCCGGTGACTCTTCTTGGATCACCCAGGAGCCACGGTACTGACGCAGGACCATGCCGAGGGCGGTGCTGCTGGGCAGGTCGGAGATAATGTCCCCGGACTCTTCGGGTGGGGAGCTGTGGTGGTCGTCGATGGCGGTGGCGACGTCCTTGAACGGGACGGGACCGACGAGGCACGGCGTGCTTGGATCAGCCATGGACAATTGCCCACCCGGTGAGTTGCTGTATAATACTCCTACAGAGGATCTCACCTCTAATACTCCTATGGAGGATATGACCTCAGGCTGCAGGTGGGAGTGTGCTGCGGTGGCCGGTGGGACTCATCAACCCATCCCACTTTTTATTTTTACTAATTGAATGCCCGTACATTGTCACGAAACAAGATAATAATGCTGCTGCGAACCAACCTGTGGTTGGATGGTCAGTGGGATCGTGGTATCCTCAGCACATCAGGGTTTAAGATGATATGTCAGCTCAGTCTTTCAGAGATGCTTATAGGGACAGGGTGTGCATGTGTGCGTTCATCGGGATGAGTGTATGCGCGTGTATATGAGCGCTTGCATCTATACTGTGTTAAAAATAATAATAATGTTGCTTTAGATGTATTTTATTTAGGTGACATATTGAATTCATACTCCAGCCATTTCATCTATGAGTTCGACGTGAAAAAGAGCGAGCAATATTTCAACATGTTTGTTCTGCTTCATCCCAATTTTTCATTGGTTCTACTTTTTTATCGACACAATCTTATTTCTCTCCACCAGACAAACGTTATCTACACAATTCTATTTCTCTCCACCAGACAAACATTGCTATCCCTTCCATGTCTTTTAGCTCGGTCCACTCCTTCGCTCAAGCTCTTTGCCATCGCTCTATGTCTGACCACATAGTTTCACTTTAACATGATAAGCTGCCGCTTATGATGCTACGACAAAAATATACCCACACGATTGCTAGGGACAAGTGTATAGGAGGGTCTGGCAACAAGTTTGCTTTTTTGCCCAGTGTTGTCATTACTTAAGCACTTTTGCGATCCCAATTTCTAGAATCCTTAATTACTACCATCAGAAAGGGAATGTGACCACAACTCTCCTTTTTTCAATCTTATTTTCAGTTTTCATTTCCAGAATATTAGGGTAGAATTCGGACACTATATAAGGAAGCCTAATTCGACTACACTTCGCTTGGCTTCACCCCAAGCCACACACCATTCTCCGATAGAAGGTCGGTTTATATTAAGATTTTTCATACAAATTTAGAGAAAGAACTTTGAATATTAAATCGAAGGAGTGACACTACCAAGGTTATAGATATACATAGGAGGGGAGAAGGAGAGGCATGTGTACGTTCTGAAAAGACACCAGATACTTGGATAACAAACGTGTACGAAGGCCAATACGATGTTGCATCATACATTCGTGGGCAGCATAAGTAAGAAAATAAAAACCTTTATTTTGCATAACCACGTATCAAAATCCAAGCGCAACAAAGGCAAATGTCATATCTCTTACATCTTGATCGAATAAGCTTCTTGCAAGAACAACTGTAATAAGGACCAAAAAGGAATCAACTAAAAGTAGAATATATAACAATGGAGCAATGACCAAACTTGAAAGGTTACACTGTTGTCCCGTGGAGCAGCCTTTGCCAAACAAAGCAAAACACTCGAACAATTTTGTTAAAGACAAACGGAATTGTATACAATTATATACAAAATCCAATCAAGACGAGCTGTAACTCCATGTTCCAGAACAACATATATAAGGAATATATAAAGTAGCTAATTATATGATGCAAGTAAACCAAAATATTTTTAGTTAGTATGACAATAACAAAAGCTTGTCCGGTTGTTATTTTTGACTGATTTTGCATATCACTACTCTTATGCTTATGTTTCTTCACATCATATATCACATTGGTTATATTCAATAGTCAGGTCTGCTAGCTAGCTGGTGGTTTTCATGATTTAAGGTGTGTGATTTATGTGCAAAACTGTGGAGAATTATCCTTACAGTAACAAAACACTATTATGCTCACTAAGTTTAAAATAATTTATTCTATATATCCAGGTTAATTTTATCTGCAAACCTCAAAAATAACATTCTGATTTGCACATTAACACTTGTCATGATGAAGAAGAAAAAAACCTTTGATGACCATGCCACATGAATTGCATAATTCCTCCATTCAATGTTTTCTCATTCCAAAACATAAAATTTTTGTTGTATACATGTACCAGTAGAATAACATGTCTAGCATGAATTATCCTATTAATAATGTCAGATTTGATAAATCTGGAAGACTATGAAACTTTTGTTCTAGCTAGTTGATCATTAAGCACCAAGTTTAGCACGAGGCGACTGGTACCTACCAAAACAAAGTATTAAACTGCAGAGAAAGGCAATCCTGGCATATCCACATGAGTTTAGATGATGTACTCCATCTGTAAAGAAATATAAGAGCATTTACATCAATAAAGTTGTGATCTAAATGCTCTTACATTTCTTTACATAGGGAATATATCTTAGTGTGGAAACTTTAACCCCTTTGGTTAATACTGTGTGTCTGAATTAATGTGAGAAGCACACATGGTCCTGAATCTGGAAATAAAACATGGAGACCTATCATCATAAATTTCTTAAAAGAAAATTGATTGTAACAGTATTTTTATACACGCCAAATACCATGCCCTGCCATTCTTTAAGAATCGTTTTATATACTGGAAAATTGTATCTGATGCAAACATGAATATTTTGGGGTGGGGTCAACCTATTTTGCTACAATGAAATTATGCAAACTTACAATGCCTTTTCCCTACATCATTTAATGGAATAAAACATAGTGTGACACATGTTCAGTCGCACCAGGCATTGCAAATGGTAAAAAAGTTGAACCGGACAAATATGTGTATAAAGTAGTGGTTGAGACAAGCCACACCTGCTATTGGAGAAGAAACAAAATCATGGCTCACACTGCAAAAGATTGCCTCATAGTACAAAAGCTCTTCGTGCTTGATTTTCACCCACTGGGTTATGCCCTTGTAACATGATTCTGCATAAGCAGTACCAGTGGTACAATTCGTTAGAAAAAAGATTTTGAATGGCAAAAGTGCAGCTCGGAATTTCTAACTACAGGAAATCTCCATCCCAAAGTAAATAGAAAGGTATACTATGTTTTCCTTTTTACTCTTGATTCGACGCTTAGTGTGCATGCGTGCATCAAGAGGGCAAATCGTTGTGGGTGCGTAGGCAGAAGTTGTGTATATAATTATAATGCAAGCCAATTACTTTATGAGATATATAGCAACCCACTGTGTCTTCAGCTCTTCACAGTAACACAAGATTTCAATTCCATTTCATCTACAAAATAGGACAACTCAAGTTTTGTGCAATTTGCATAATCACAATAAAAAGTAGACCTGGGTGTTTTTTCTGAAGCAGTGTCTTGGCAATCTTAGGATCAGCACAACCTATACATGAACTTCTGTGCTATAGGTAAAGAGACAAACATCAAACCATAAGCCCTGTATGCCGCCTGCCACTTGCCAGATCTCCACCAGCGACCTCCTCCGGCTACCTGCTCCTTGCACGGTCCCGCCACCTCCTGCCGTCCGCTGCCACCAGCCGATCTCCTGTTGTCTATTGCGCCACCAGCCGGTGTCCCACTCATTCGTTGCTACTCGCTGGCCCTTGCCATGGGAGAGGATGTAACGCCCTCGATGCGGCTATAACTCCCACGTGTCGAGGCACGACTTAGAGACATAACCGCATTGAAAGCAATGTCGCAAGTCAGGCAATCATTACAACATCCCATGTAATATATAATAAAAGGGGAAGATAACATAGTTGGCTTACACTCACCACGTCACATCAGAGTACATAAATAACATCCATCAAACAAACACTCATGGCCCGACTACGGCGCCAAAATAGAAAAGAACCCAACATGCGACAAGGTCCTGAATCGATAACCCCAACTAGGCACCACTACTGATCATCTGGAAAGGACACGTAGTATCGCTGAGAGTCCTCGTCGAACTCCCACCTGAGCTCGTAATCGTCAACTGGAGCAGAATCACCTGGACCTGCATCTGGAGTTGTAGTATCTGTGAGCCACAGGGACTCAGCAATCTCACACCCACGCGATCAAGACTATTTAAGCTCATAGGAATGGATAAGGCAAATATATGTGGAGCTGCAGCAGGCGACTAGCATATATGGTGGCTAACTAATACGCAAAAGAGAGCGAGAAGAGAAGGCGAAGCACGAACGAGAAGCTAAAAGAACATCCTGCGCAAGCATAACTCCAACACCGTGTCCACTTCCCGGACTCCGCCGAGAAGGGGCCATCACGGTAACACACACGGTTGATTCATTTTAATTAAGTTTAGTTCAAGTGATCTACAACCGGACATTAACAAATTCCCATCTGCCCATAACCGCGGGCACGGCTTTCGAAAGATCAATCCCTGCAGGGGGGGTCCCAACTTAGCCCATAACAAGCTCTCACGGTCAACGAAGGAATAGACCTCCACCCGAGACACACCGATCAGACTCGGCAACCCGGTACAACAAGACAATTCGACAGGTTAAAACAAGACCAGCAACACCGCCCGAATGTGCCGACAAATCCCGATAGGAGCTGCACATATCTCTTTCTCAGGGCACACTCAGATGAGCGCTCCATACAACTAAAACCAAACCTCGAGTTTCCCCGAGGGGGCGCTGCACAGGACTCTAGTTTGGACCAACGCTCAGAGGAGCACTGGCCCGGGGGGGGGGGGTTAAAATAAGATGACCTTCGGGCTCCGGAAACCCAAGGGAAAAAGAGGCTAGGTGGCAAATGGTAAAACCAATGTTGGGCATTGCTGGAAAAGCTTTAATCAAGGCGAACTATCA